GACTGCCGTTACAGGCCGCATCAATGTGTATTTCTTCATGCACCTGTTCCTGTGGAGCACGATATGTTGGCCGTGCAAGGAGGCCGAAGCAGTGGCCATTCGACTAGCGAACCCAGCACTCTGTTGTCAGAAGACGCTGACACAAGCAGTCTGTCTGCCCTCGCCGGCTCCAGATGGTGATCGCACGCCGTCCCGATGCCGTAAGAGCAGTCTCACACACCCACAGCGCCTTCAATCTAACCGGAACCCGTCTCATTTCCCCTATCCTCCCACCCCAACTCCACCTTCCTCAACACCCTGAGTCCGTCATGCGGGCGGCGTGGGAACATGGAGTCCGAGTAAACCTGCTGCTTAGACGCATTTATATTCTGCGTACAATTAGAATGGTCATTACCCATGTAACTGTATCGGCCTGATAATGAGTTACCAAAAGTGTATTTTCATCAACTTACTCTTCAATCATAATATTGGAATTTTCACAGAACTACTTCGTTGTCCTCGCACGTCCGCATACATTCCAAGAAATCATCTACGCTGAGGCCACAAATGCTTACTATCCCAACAAACCATTAAGTACCTACGTTGATTATGGTCGTTATCCTGGATATTATAGGTAACGGGCACGTTATATAGGCTGTGGAACTGTCGTCCACCCGCACAAACCCGTTATGGAGGTGGAAGGTTCTACAGAAATTATTGGAAAGTCGGATTCGACAAGTATGAATAAAAGATGTAAAGAAGTAAAAACGTTGAGCTAAACAAGACTCCTGAAAAGCAAACGATCAGTGAAATCTGCCAAAAAGGTTGCTTTTACGCCCTGTTCATTTTGTGTCACCACCAAAGTTTCGTGTTTACCGCAGCCATTTAGCTACATCGCCTCTATCGACCCACGTGCTGGGTATCTGCTGGGCTTATATGCTCCACGTGCGTTACATACACTGACGATGCTTCTTCTTCTGTATAGGCTTCCAGTTATTCCTGTGCCTGAATAAATGCCTTGAACACGATGAAAAATTAAAAATTTGTGTTTTGGCTGAACCTTTGTCTTATCAAACATGCTAAGCGATTCAGTGTCTAGACGGGAATTAGTACCCCAACAGGAACTTTCAGAAAGTCGGGGATCTGGAGGCCTGGAGATAGCAGGTTACACAAGTGAAACGTTTCGTGACCTATGACCTGCTGGATTTTGTTTGTCTGCTTAGCCCCACCTGTGTTGCACGCCACCATAGGGCGCTCATTCTGGCGTGGCGTGTCGTGGGTGTCGGGCGTCTTGCTCCTGTTTTTAGGTTCGTCTATGATGCTTATTTGCTACTATGAATACGTGAAAACCAACCACTTCTGATATCCTGTGTATCTTTGGAACTGACCTTGTCTACCTTTGCGTTTTAGATATCGGTGTTACTATAGGCATGCGGTGCTAGCTGGCCAGCGGTTTACGTAAGTCTTTTTCAAGAAATGATGTTTATTTGCTACTTTTGAAGCCTTGATATTAGTCAAAGTCTGAAACCCTCACTCATATGGCTTGTTGGCATCACACCCAACAGTGCTTTGGACGGGCATTCTGCGGACAATGGCAGTTGTGGGCACGCCCCACCACATGGTTGGATGATTCGGCAGGATTCAGATGTCACCGGCCGGTGACGCCCGGGCGTCCAGGAAGTGTGAGAAGTAAGTTAGTTTGCATGCATGATGAATATTTCTTCGATTGATTCGTGATTTTCTTTCACCAAGATCGCTGATGTTAGCATTTACCACTGACCTGTTAATTGGCCTTGACAGTTTCCATTCATGGACTCGGTTCTGCAAGGATGACCGGGGAAGTCATTGTCCGGACTGGCCATTCACCTTCACTAAATGCTCCACATAAATGCATCCTGCAAGGCTTGCGCTCCTGGTTCATACTTGCTGACTCCCTGGCATGATGGACCACCGTATATAATACGCTTGTCTTCGTCTTTCCGATCACTGGAGTGCCGAGGAGAACGGATGATGGACGGGCACACGTTTAGGTGGTGCAGTTAATTAATGATCGTCAAATGAATTCATATTCATCGGGCACCAAAACGTGGATTCGCATCAGGACTATTGTGAGGGGCTCGCCGTACTTGAGGGTAGGTAGATGCTTATATGATGACAGCACTTTTGCTTGACCCATGATTTCTTTCACCAAGATCGCTGAATTTTTGCCTTCGTTTCAATTTACTGTGACCCTTTCTCCTATCAAGCTCGTGGGTCTTCGGGACGTCTGCGTTTCCGCAATGGTGCTCGCGCGGCTTCCAATGGACAGATATAATTGCTTTCAATGCCCTCTGCCACGTACTCGTGATTGGTCCGTCATCGACATCAACGTTGACTGGATGTGGAGGGTGCCAACGATCGTACCTCGTCCCCCTCTGCCATGCGCTGGTCCCAGATTGAGAAAAAGTCTGGCTTCTTTAATCCTATTTAACTCCGCATCTAGTAAATATGCAATGTTGCCTATTTAAGTTGCTTAATTTTCACTGGGGCCATAATTACGCCGTGAAAGTCGTTAGCGTGACCAAAGTGATGTTACTATCCGAGCTAGCTTGGGGCTTTTCGCTGTCAAGAATTGACTCGATGTGGCAGTTGGGTTCGGTGATATGGCGTGGGCGAGCTATCCCGATCGCCGGTGCTTCACTCCCAACCGCAAGATGGCGCGGCATCGGGGAGTGCCTTACGGCGCCGGAAGGGTTGCATGAGTCTGAGGGTTTGGTCACAAGTCTAACAGCGAAAGTGGCTTCAGTGTTGGGAAGAGCAAACGAATTCGGGCAGGGGAATACTGGTTCAGCGTGGGTGTGGGTTAGGTGACGCCGCGGGGACGCTGATTCGCGCGTGAATCCGTTTGTGGTGTATTTGCCACACCGCCTTACTAGGCCTGATGCCGGGAAGACGGCGAGTGGCTAGAGCGACGTGGACACGCGCGCAGGCGTTAGTGCGCGAGAATATGTGTTTATCTGCACAGTTTTTGTTATTCCCCTTGTACTTCCTTCATGTTATTTCCTTTCTATTTCCTCAATATGCTCCCTCTGCATGTAACCAATAGGGGCCTAAGAGGCACACCTACATTACCTGAAATACTGAACGAGCCATTGCAGCGGGACTTGGGGGGAGGGGTCAGTTATCCCGTTAGTTGGCATTATTGCAAGCCGCGTCTTCTAGCGCACCGAGATGGATTCAAGTCTTAGATTGTTTATGGTTGGGAATTGGCGATCTGATTGTCGACCTAACTCTTCCCACTCTCAGGCATCAGTCCACTGTCCCGGGCGGCCAGCCATGTGACGCGGGACTGGGGGCAGCCGCTGACATAGCTAGAGAGCCGGAATGCCACACGATCGGGCCTCCACAGCGCCGGGTTTCTCATAAGGGTGGGGACTTCGGATCTCAAATGCGTGAGGGTGCCTTATTTGTCATATGACCGTTTGCCGCCTGACTCAATCCGTCAGCCGGACACCACGCTTAGACATGCTGGGCTGATTCTGACGTTGAATCTTCAGTTTGCAACTTTCGGCGCTGCGCCTTTTAGCGTTCCGTAGTAGATTTAAGCTCATTAGATTGTTTGTAGTGAGGAATATGCACCGAGTACCCTTCAATCTCCTCTTCCTCCCCCCCCCCAACTGCACCGTTTGTCGGTGCTGTCCGGTCTGTAAACTGAAGCTTGCGGAAGGTGTAGTGGCTGCATGGCTGGAGACGGCCCGTCTGCGCGTGGCGCACACGTCCTGCCCTCTACATCACGGCAGGATCTCATACAAGGTGGCAGGGTTGCTAGAGCCTCTCATTCGTTAGTGCTGTATAGGCCACACTAAGGAGCCGTCGACCCTGATTCTGTGTTCACCTGTCGACCAATTTACACGAACACAGGGCTGATAAGAGGGTCTGATTTGGATCGTCAGTCTGCGACTTTCCAAGCCACGGCCTTTAGTGCACCGTGATGGCGTTCGGAATAGATAAGGCAGGCTGTGATTTTTAAACCACCATCACGGAGGCTCCCCGGACACTGACCCCGACAACTACAAAACCCCAGACATTCGAGCGTTGGGTTAGCCGCCTTACATGCTCCTCCATCTTCAGTCTGCGATGAACGCACAGAGTCTTTGTCATGAAAAGAAACCGATGTTAGCTTTGCTCACTGCACTCTGCGGTGGGCACTCAGGGTACAAGTCCGCTCGGTTCCCTCAGTAGATCTTTCTGCTTTAGATTCCAGTGTGCGGACAAATTCCACGGAAATTCAATGGCACCATTTGTATCTCTACAAAGGTCCACCAATGGCTCCCCTGCGATCGCCATAGTATTGCTAATAGAATCTCCATCTAACGTTTTTCAAGCCGTAAGAATCCACACCTCGATGTGGACTTCCTCAGGAGACGTGGGTCCTGGAATCATCGTGGACTAATAGACGCGACTTTCTGCAGCGTGACAGCTCCCGACTGACGTCAGAAAACGCAGTCGAACCGCCACAGGACCTCCGTAGATCATACGGAAGGTGTCCGACAGTACTCCGGACCGAGCCGCGGAAATTAACGATATTCAGACGTCTCGAAGGACGTACGCTGATGGCTAAACGGTCATATGGCGGCATGACTGCACACATCGGAGACAGTGAATATACTGCAGAAGTTATTATATTGTCGAAATGTGAACCAAGGCGTATCTACCCGAACTCTCTTAGGCCCCATTGTTGCCACCATAGTGGTGAACGCTCGTCAGGACGAACGGCTTGATGTCAGAATGAAATACTACAGTAAGGGTTAGTTTCTCGAAATCAAATCCATGCACACAAGAGCTAGACCACGTACGACTGCTCATTGGACCACGGCGGAAGCCGATCCGAATGAACTGAACTTTATCGGAGTAGGCTGGACCCATTAAGCTGTTAACGAACACCGCCTTGCTGCTCTATACGTATTCTTTTACCTGGCAAGCACCATCTGTAGATGCATGAAACTATGACGAAATTGCATCCGGAGATGTAGATTCAGTCGGGATCCCCGCTTGGAACCATCATGGCATGGTTCTGAACACGAAATTAATGATACACCGGACTTTCATTGCGACAACGCTCCTGTAGGGCGCAGGGGCCTGGACCGTTTAGGAACCAAGTAAGGGAGCTGAGTCACGTTCACTAAGGCTGTTCCGGCAGGATGTTGAGTTTTTTTAGGGGTGGAGTCCAGGTCTCCAGATTCTGCAGTCGACTGATTGCTGAGCATCTTTTTCCTACTGAAGTAGGCTTGATTGTGGTGAGGCAGTCACACAATGATGAGTGCTGAACAGCCAGTGCGGCGATTCTCCTACGAAGACTTGCAAACAATCTGAACGAAAGCGACTTCACGGAAATAAGTTGGACAATTTACTTAGACGCACGGAAACTAATGGAGCCTCAGAGGGTCTACGATGGGTCGACATGCACAGCGATGTCCTAAAGCTGCAGCAGCAACAAGCCAGCGGGATCCAGGAGCCGAAGGTACAAGCCCAAGAACGGGACACCGCATCCTGATGTCGCGAGAATTCAACCTCCCAAGAACTACATTTACTGTTAATATAAGTTCGATGCGCAGATAAGCCTTGTTAGGCACTTGCGTCCACCGCTATGTCAATATGACCAGCCCTCGTCTCGGAATGCAACCATCGTTGAAGACGCCTGCCTGCTCTTACGGTGATTGTAAATTTCGTTACTGATCGGACGACCTCGTAGCCGCCACGAAGGGGGCGCCAAGACAACGGCCAGTAGAGTAAATTCGTTCCCATTGCGCCTCGAAAATCATTGATCTAGTCGGAAATTTGCGTTTTCGCCCCAAAACAGCTGTAAGGGACCTGGACAACAGGTATAAGTAGTAACTGTACACTAAGCCATTAAATTCGGCCATTTGTGCACATGACTACGGCGTTACCCATCGCCCTTTCTGCTCCGGTCCCAAAGACCTACTGCAAGAATGGTTCTGGCCCACATCCTACCCTGTCCGCGTGCCTGTAGGGGGCAGCGCGTGTGTAGAAGGCGACTCAGTCACCGAGTCCGCGTCCATTCCCAGTCCAGATTTTTTAACAGATTAAACACGGCTAGTTTGGGGAGAGGGTAAGGTGTGTGCCACGAAAGTCCCCCTCGCTATCAATCAATTCATACCCTTATGACTGTTGTGGTATTCTTTAATAACGAAACACGCTTAAGATTACGACCACAGACCAGTCGGAGCTTAGAACATTTGGGACATGATAGAAATGCATGCAACTTTGCTTTGGCTACTCGGGTGCCGCTATGGTTCGTGTCATATTCTCCTACAACAACGATAATTGGCCAGTGGAGTTACGAGGGGTCAGTTTCTCCAGCGTGTGCGTTTAAGTAAATCGTTGTTCGGAATGGCGATATAGAAAGCGCAAAGTAAGTATAATTTAAGATTATAATAACGGGGATTATTCGCAGTGCGGGACGTCGAGCCACAACTTTAATCGGAAGGCGTCAACTCCGGTGAGATAGTACCGAAAGAGGTACTTGTCACGTGAGAAGCCAAGTTGTTCATAAAGCGCAAGGGCGGGTTCGTTCGTAGCCTCCGCTTCAAGCACAATCTACAAAGCGGATACGCTCGCATAAAAGTCAATAGAGAAAAGAAGATTGCAAAGTCGAGAGAGATGAAACAGTGTTTAGGAAGGTTTGTTGGGCTGGAGTTTGGAACCGCACGTTCCGCCATGAAGGGCGGCTTCTGAAGTTCCTATCATTTCAGGAAATGTGGCATTCACGATATAAATCGCGCATGCGGCAGCGCTTCGCCTTTCGAGAAGTCATAGGCTACTGCGAGCAATAGTCGGTTGAAAATGGGTAGCATCTAACGCCCTCACGGCACTGGTGATATGCAAGCTCGCGCTTATGGTGGTCATCGTGATGCGGCAGCCTTGTGACTTTGTATACAACTAAGAAATCTAAATTAAAATAGCTCTGATATAATTGGAGAAACCGCGACCGGAGGTTGACGCTTACAAACCGGTCAGAAAGGACCTGTCTGTGACCTAGTTGCATAAGTGCTCCGTCTGTAGAGCATGGTAATCGTCGCTGAATACTGCATGCATCCAGCCACTAGTCAATGCTCGACCGAAGAATATACTGTTGACACAAACAACAGCATCTGGGAATTACAATGCACTCAGCCTGGTGCACAGGATAGGATCCCAAAACTTGCAGAAACATGCTTGTATAGCATAACGTACGAGGAAAAAACGCGCAAACTACTGCGGTGACTCGAACGCCGTTTGCAGGCATGACCCGGCAAAAACCGCACTAGCAAAGGTAACCACCACCGTCGAGAAATCACGTTAGTTACACACCTCTTGACCACCATCCTCAATCATGAGATTTATGGCCAACTGGACAAGCGTGGAGCCAATGCCCTTCTTGCGGTATTCCTTTTCCACCGCTAGCATGGCAATGTAGCCGCGCTTCACCTGTTCATGGTAGTCCAGTTTGCAAACAATTGCGCCCACACATGTACCATCTTCGTTGACAGCCTAAGGAAAACAAAAATGCATATGCAGGCAGCCAGGTCTACCAGCAAACATAGTTTAGGCCAGTTGTAGATGAAGTATCGATAAGTATACAGGGAGTAGGGTTCGGAAAGGTCCTTCGATATGAGAGGAATTATGCTTTGAAGGTCATTCTCCGATTCATACTGTCTAAATGTAATATTGTTCTCAGTATCCACAAAAAGGGGCTTTTTCGACGAACCTAAGAGAGGTGAGAAATGGGATGGCGAAGTGGGAAACTACCATCACCTAGAAGGTCTTCGTCAATTCGTAGGATGGACAATTGATTAACTAGCTGGTCCGGCTCAAATGAGGCATCGCGCTCTAGATTCATAGAGAACACCTGTCAAAAATATAAGAAAGAGGGTTTGGTGCACCAAAACAGTAACAAAACCCGATAAAACAATGAATCAAAAGCAGCAAATAACAGATTTAAATAGTGAACTCTAATTGACTCTGTCTGGCAGAGCCAAGAACAAGGAAACACAATCACTGGAACAAATGCTTGCTTGACGTTTCGGATTCTCACTCGAATCCATTACCAGAGACAGTCAGAAAAGGGTAGTGAACTGCCCAGGTACTGCAGTATTTATAATCTGTAGTCGTTAGGCCGCCAAATGCCTATCAGAGTTGGCGGCTCCCGCGTGCATTCCGGCTCGGCCAGCCAGGTTTTGAGGTATGCAGTTGCTATGCACCTGTGTACCGGTCAATATTATCGGCTCCCACGCTCGTCGCACGCAGTCGAGTTGGTCACTGCCGGATTTCGTCATCCGTGTGGATTCCTTGGCAGTGTGGCTCGCAGACATTGACACCAGAGACAGTAGTTATCCGCATGCTCCCCCGCGGCCAACTTTTGCCTAAGCAGTCTCAGCATCAAATATGGAGTGGAAAGTTCGTTGTGCTTGTTGATTGGCTGAGGAACGGAAAACCATGACTCAAATAGTTCGCGAGTCATGCGGTTGTCGCTCATTCGACGGGACCCAATGACATACTTAAGCTTGAGGAGGCTGAAATTCTTGCTAGAGGCGACGACCGCATGAGCCGCGAAGTACTCGAGTCATGGTTTTCCGACCAGACCTGGGGAGAATGTTGGGATTGAGCCTTCGGCTTTCGAGAAAAATGCGCCGATTAAATAATGGCTGCCGACAGCCTAGCGTTCAATCAAAGAACATGGATTACAACGGTTATTGGTGATACGGACGGCGAATTCGGCTAAATCGTTTCTCGCGGTGACTAGCCACTGACGGCAATGGCATCAGGTGCGACCGCTTACCAATTACACTAATTGATGATAAGTAAAAATGCCGCAAGCGGAAGTGGGTTAATTATATACCACCTGTTGGACAGTACAGATAGATCAACGGTGTAGACTTCTGAGCCCCGAAGCTTATTTTCAAGCCCAGAAACTCGGAAATAATGGACCAAAGTTCTCCAATGGCTTGTGACGGAATCCAACTCAAACCAGGCATTGGGGCGCTTGGCATAAAACTAGAATGGGGATGGTTAACCACGAGACAACAATCAAGGCGATGCTCAGCTACGAACAGGGCTACAAACCCAGAGGAAAAAGAAGGCGACAAACGGAGTAGAAGCATGACAAACAAAACCACACATAGAAACGTGGAAAAGGTGACAACGAAACGGTAAGTACGAGGTTTTAATGGAAGCCAGAAGATAGCATCTAGACGACACAAACAAGTTGGGAACTTAAACACATGGATAAGCAAAGCAAGTGCAAAAGCGGCTTTTGTTCTTTATCAATATGGGAAAACACTAGAAACACTGATAAATATAAAGCTATATGAAACGTTGTGGTATGAGGTGTTTTGCTACCTGCAGATGCCTCGGGACATTTCGAAAACTAATGCCGATCGGCAGGCCGGCCTTGATTTAGATAGAGGGAGTCATTTCTTGCATTGCAAACGCATATATGCTGGCATTATCTCCCTGTTTAACCCAATTAATGAGCTGATGACACAATAAGTGAAGATCGCCTGCTTCGTCAGTGCATGGGCGAGCTAGATGCTGATACCCACAGAGATGTGGGCATTACACTGGAAAAATATATATGCATCAACATTTTTAACCTGCAAAACCGACCTTTTCCCCAGCCTCGACGTAAAGAACGAAGTACGAGATCATGCCTATCAGCCGTATTCGCGATGAGGCCGACTAAAAGTTGCGCAGCGAAAACGGACGTCAAGATATATGCAAAGTGCGCAGGTATCTTCGACGTACCAAGTTGCATATTTGTGTTAGGAGTCTATAGGCATGGTTTTGCCATTAATTGCGCAAAAGCAGCATTTGCCAAAACTTCAGGAGATTCGACACATGAAGTAATTATCTATTTTGAGGCCGCACTAGACACGGTTCGAAATCCAAATCTGGGTAACTCATAAAAACTGTAGGATTGTGAATATATCAAAATTGGCGGATCCAATCAGTGACCCATACCAGCTTTCCTAGCATATAAGAATGGTTTTGCGATGACCCAAAATACGCTATTTTGTTTTCAAACATGATGCAATTGTCCAAAACTACCCCGCGCAAGTGGTCTAGATGAATCAGGAAGAGAAATCAGCTCATTATAGACACCCCTGGCCAACCCCAACCTGGACGGTCAATACAGACGCGCGAGATGTCCTTTAAAAAGAATTTTTTCGCTGCAATTAACAAACACATTTCGCCCACAGGCAATTGATGGTCAACTGCCGAAGCCCGTGAAGCTCAAGGCGGTTTTGACATCATCCTACTGATCAAGTTTCTCATATATGATGTTCGTGAGGCAGATCATTCTGGAAGCTGATAGCTAAATGTTTTCTGTAAGTTCTTAGAAAGCATACCACTCATGCAGTAACGGAGAAAATAATGCACTTTTGCCTTGGCTTAGCAATTGTTTGCTGCACTAGCGCAGCCTATAGGCTGGCGCTAGTATTTTTATAATAAATCATTACCTCTATCATGACACAACGCCTTCCTTCAACTTTCTTGGGGGGAAGGGGGGTTCCGTAGTTCTTTAAGTACTAAATAGGATGGGAGGTGGGAAAAAGAGCTTTCGTTGGTGTTAAAACGGAAAGGTCGCTAAGGAATGCCGTCCCGCAGCTGCATAATGCCGTATCGCGACTTTTCGCCATTGTTTCCATAGCGACCACATGGACAAAATCCGCTATAAATCGGTCATTGTATCGCGACTTTTCCACAGCGAGGCGCCGTCACCTCGCTATGGAATTGCTACTAGGGTAGGCGAAGAGCGGCGCAGCCTGAAAGCCCGAGCAGAATGCCCTCAAACTGAGCGGACTGCAGAAGTGCCTGCGTGCGGGCCGTGGTGTCGTTAGTGAGACAGCAAGAGTCACAATATATCGTGAGTATTAGATAACACTATCCTATAGATAGACCTATGCATCCGGATAGTTCGATGAGGCAAAATGTTCAGGGTGTCGAGTGACTACTACTTCCAATTTGCCGAAAATAGATGATATTTTGAAGAGTTCAATGATAGCTATTACCAGTCAAATTATTAACTGCTTGGAAGAAGACAGAAAAAGACAGCGAACACCGAAGGGCAACTGACTCCCAGCCCCGCCCCGCCTTTTCCGCCCAAATTCCAGTCTAGTAAAAACTGACTGGCCTTTTCATATTTTTTGCCCCTTTCATGGCACACACAAAAATGCCTATGTTGTCTTTCTCGACCTTACTGAGGCTTTTGGCACCGGCATAGCTGGTTGATTTTAGAAGAACCAATAACTCATTTAGCTGGAATGGAAGCGCAGACTTCAACAAGAATCAGCGCAAGTGTACAGAATGCAACATTTCGGAAGCCCTGGCTCAATACAGTACTTGGATCTACTTGTGATAGCTCGCGATAAAGGAAAAGGCCCTTTTTAGGCGATGTGGGCATCGCGTTTGTCACATTCAGCGCATATTGTAAATTGCTACTGGTGAAAACTTAAGATCAGAGGCTCTTATGTTGTGTCGACATGCTGAGATAGGTGTTGCCTGTCTTCTCGTCGGTTATCGATGTTTCGACGTCCATTTCCTTACTGGTTGACTTTTATGTTTCGTTGTACGCTCCAGTGCGCCTAATTAAAGACGAGTCCATGTACAATTTTGGCCATAAGTCATCTGGCTTGCCGTCGTGTATCGTCAATTCTGTATACAAACACCCCTATCGTCTCTGCCGGTAACCCCTAATAAACGAAAGAAAGTGTCTCATTAAGGACGAGTCCGTGGGCAATTCGACCCACACGGTATCTGCGCTTGCCGTCGTGTTTTGCCGATTTATCATAATAGCGGGAATAGACTGTCATAATACTTCACACAACATAGTCGCATTTCTTTTATGTTTAACCCGTATTTATAAAAGGCTTTCCTCGTAAACTTATCTAAAGGTATCATATTGTTAACGATAAATATTCCCACTGACCGTTTTATTGCCAATCTATAACCTGGAAGAAGAACTATACTGTCATATGTTTCACCATACATCGTCTCATTGTTAAATACAAATTTTGTTCACAATTTCACTTTTTCACGTATAAAATTGTTCAGTTGTCCGTTTTTTCGGAACAGTGAATATAGATAGATATTCAAAATTATTTATCATACGTGGCCTCATCCTTAAGTCCTCAATTTTTCGGCAGTTGCCGCCCCTATAAATCACTACTAAACTCTTGCTTTGCTTTCTCGATCATGAATCCTCAGGCGGCCGTTCGTCAAAGTTAGGAGAAAGCCAAATTTCAAGCTTCTCATTAAAAACCCATCGCCAATTTGAAAAAAATAACAATTTTGTCTCAAGGTGGACCGCTTAATTCTGTTCTAGACAACTTGGATGCGCGCCTTTCGAATTCGGTTTCGAATTTTCGACCTCCGAGGGATTTGCCTTTTCTGGGATTTCTGCCTACTGGACGCATCGCGGGCCCAGCTGGATTAGGAAATTGAAGCTTAATCAGCAATTCCTCTAACGATCCACACGGAACTCCGACAGAACTTCCTTTGGAACGACCATACTCCTTCGTATCAATTCTCTGCCAACAGCATCCCAGGACTCTCCTGATCCAAGAGCGGCTGAGTCGTTTGCTATTTGCTTCATATTGTTGGCTTGGTTAAAAAGCTTCTCATACACCTTTAAATACTTCGTGCCGTACCTAGAATACCTTGCATATCCTTCGAAGTAATAATGGGAGTCGACAAAACACCATCAGGACAATGTGCAAAAAACTTGTCCCAAGTGGGATTCGAACCCAGGTCCCGTCGTGGGGTGAGCAGCGTGATCGCCACTACACTATCGGCGCACGGCGAACGGACTGAAATAAATAAGGGAGTAAACATTATTCG